TGTGTCATTGGGCGATTTCGTTGTTGTACACACATCCGCGTGCACTTACACAAACCCAGGTGGTATATAGCCTACTACACACCTGGGCTGCGGTGTAGCCTATTGCACCCAGGCTCCAAACCTGTACAGCACGCCTAGCACTGAACACTGCAGGCAACTGTAACACAATGATAAGTATTTGTGTATCCGGACATATCTAAACATGGAAAAGCTACACAAGAAATACAGTATAAAAAATAAAAAAATGATACACCTGTATAGGGCACTTACCATAAGTGGAGCTTGCAGGACTGGAAGTCGCTCTGGGTGTGAGTCAGTGAGTGAATGAGAAGGCCTAGGACATTCCAGTTTACTACTATAGACTTTTTAAAAACTGTATATTTTAGGCTACACTAAATTCATTTTAAAAATAAAGTGATTGTGCTACAATATTACAACAAGTTACAAGGTCACTAGGTGTTAGCCATTTTTTGGCGCTGTTATAATCACCCGGGACCATCGTATCTGCAATCTACTGTTGACTGAAACGTCTTTATGCGGTACGTGCCTGTATCTCTAGCCAAAGTTATACCAGAGGATTCATGAATTAGCATCACAGATACTAGAAACAATCTGTTCACCGATGAAGTGAATGGAGTGGATTAAAAGTGGTATATAGGTGCCTCCTCGCCCTTGCAAAGACAGGGTAGAAGAATCTGGCGGTGGGCCCAACAGTAGCCTAAAACAGTGCTGCTGTTCAGTCTTGTGCAGGCTGACATCATGAGTATTTCTGCTGCCTGGTGCAATTAGGCTAGTTAATGCCACCTGAGATCACAGCCACAGTCACGGCCAAGTGACCCTTCCGCACAAGGTGTTAGCTGGAGAACCTAACAGAGCAGAGAGCAGAGTCAGCCACAGGATGATAGAGGAGGCTCGTAGATAAACGTTTGCAAGTCAGGCAGAAATGGGCTTGAGCTTTGCTCTCACAATGCCATAGCACTTGGTAGAAAAATTTACACACAGGAAAAAGAACATCTACTTCCCACGCAGTTCTCATTGTCAGAGGCTAGCAGTGTTTACTAAACGATCTTGGCAAATGTGACCAAACATACAAACTGGTTTTAGATGCGTTTGCAACCCTGGCCTGGCCCGCTCCCTGGATAAACCATGCTTGGATTCAACTTTCTCTTTGGATTCCAGCCTTTCTTTTAGAGCCCTCTGCTCAAAATGTCCTGGCTTCTCTTACACACCAAGTGCACTCATCTTACTGGAACTGTTCAAATACCATGTTTCCCCGAAAATAAGACAGGGTCTTATATTTATGTTTCCTCCAGAAGACACCCTAGGGCTTATTTTCAGGGGATGTGTTATTTTTTTAAGTACGGTACAACCATCTACATTGATTCAAATAGAGTTAAGTCATCTTCTTCTGGAACATCATCCTCACTCTCCAAACCCCAAATCCCATCCTGAATTTCTTGCGACTCTATTTCCTTTAGAACCACTGGCCCCGATCTCTCATGTGGAGCACTAGAGCTCTCATGGGGCAGATGAGAAGGGCTGCTCGTGTTCTTTCCCGCTCCGGGACGACATGCATGGGTTGTGCAGATGCGCTGCGTAGCCACGCCCAGCACTAGGGCTTATTTTCATAGCCACGCCCACCACTAGGGCTTATTTTCATAGCCACGCCCATCACCAGGGCTTATTTTCATAGCCACACCCATCACTAGGGCTTATTTTCGGGGTAGGGCTTCTATTGTGCAAATGTTTAGACATCCTGCTAGGGCTTATTGTATGGGTAGGTCTTATTTTCTGGGAAACACGGTACCTAGTGAATTCGTATTGCAACAACTCTTGACAACTCAACTGTAAGCTCCCCAGTAGGAATTCTGTTGCTCAATTTTTATAGTAGTAACTATTATAATAATAAGAATCTTCCCCCTCCCTGGTACTTACAATGTGCCAGGCACATTGTGTTTAATATGAATTAACTTTTATAATTTTTACAGCAACCGGAAGTGGCAGGTACCCTCAATATCTGTATTTTACAGAAGGAGAAACTGAGTCAGAGAATAGTTCATTGAGTTGTCCAAAGTCACACAGTTGTCCTTCAAACTGAGCCAGGTGAGCTCTAAGACCCAAACTCTTGACCACTGTCATGAGACTTCTAACCTGCGGGACCATAAGATAACAAATTCATGCTGTTTTGAGTTACTGGGTTTGTCATCGTTTGTAGCAATAGCAATAGAACATGAAGGCAACTGTGCTATTCCCACATCCATTATTCAAGAATAATTCTTTGCATATTGTAATCTTTTAAGAGTAAAAATGTGAATGAATATGTATAATTTTAATTTATTACAACTATCAAAAGGACCTACGGATGTGGAAAAACAACAACAACAACAACAAAAATAGAGTTATAAGGAAAAATTGCATAATCATGAATTTCAAAGAAGTGGCAAGAAACCAGAGACCTTGATTCCAGACCAGATTGTGCACAGAAATGTCTGTGTGACTTGAACAAGTCTTTTAATTTCTCTGTTGAAGTTAAGGGAGTTGAACCAGGTCATCTTGGCCTTCTTCCTGGTATAAGAATGATATTCTAAGTATATTTTTCTTCCTTTCCATTTATTTGGATCAAATAATAATGGGCCCCAATATTTCCTCTGAGAGAGCCCAAAATACATCATCTCAGGCAGGGCTGATTATCAGATGCATGATGAAATGCCCAAGGAAATGCCCTGAGCTGACGTTAAGGGGAACCATACAATATCACCTTGAGGTTCCCTCCTTCCACTTTCACTGATCCTTTTTAGTGGTCTGCCATTCATCACAGAAACCCATCACACAAACCACAAGGGCGTCCATCATATTTCTTGAGTCTATGCATTTGTATAACCTCATTGTCTCTATAAAGCGCACAGAATGAGAACTTCTGACAACGTCTCTTTCTCTGCTGCAAAATAATAGACATCTGTATTGGTCTTGATACTGGTCTTCTGATGGCCACGCAGGGGTTTATGGCTTCCAATAGAATATGCCTTTATGTATTGTTTTCCTAACAATACTGTCGCTATAAAATATAAGAGAGTGTGCCGAGGAGAAGGCAGAAGATAGGGGAGGGATAAGAGAGAGGAAGCAGAGGCCACAGTTGAGGAATGCTTGATGCTATTTGGCCTTCTGTCCACAATCGATAAAACCATTTCAATTATGAATTGCTCACCTCTAGCTAGAATTCAGCAGAGATGATTTAAAATAAATATATGAAAATTAGGTGCAGAGAACTGAGCAAAACAATCATTATATGCAGAAGATTAGAGGCCCACAGACCAGCCTTTGTTGCAAATCTTTGGGCAGATGACATAATTGGGCACAGTATATGTCTCTCCCAGCCAAGCCCATGAGAACGGAATATCCAAAGGGAAACCCTGGGAGCTAGATGAAATTCTTTCTCACCGAACAACGGGATTACATCCAGGGTAGTCTGTGCAAAGCCCAGCCAAGGCATTCTCCTTTCTTTGAGTATCTTAACATAATGAAGAGATAGGGACACAAGAGGGGGCAAAGAGCAGGAGAAAACTTCATTGTAGAGAAGGAAATATTGTTGGATGACTAGACAGAAACTAAGACATAGGTTATACAGATTTCCTAAGATGCAACGCTTGGAGAGAAAAAGAAGCAAAATCTAGGCTGGGAAGAAGACAAAAAGAAAAAGGAAATCAGGGTACTGTCAGGAAAGGAACGTAATGTTGGACAACGAGAATACAACCAATATTCACACAGGATTGATTCCCCGAGTTACTCTCGTCTTGCACTGAGCTCTGACCACTCACAACTTAATGAAGGGGGGCTGAAAAGCAGAGATGCTAAAAATAAGAAAAAATATATATATATATATTCAAAGTTTCATAAAAGATGACGGAAAGATTTCCCTAAGCGTAGATCAGAAGCATACATAAAGGCTCACTGTAGCTTTCCTGTACTGTGAGTCTGTTGCAACAATAAAATCTCTAGATTAATTGAACTCTGACCTCTTAATATTTCCATTAAAAATATAAAAAATATTGTTTTATCGTCCTTCGAAAATTAAAATGAGCTGTAACCTTCGGGCATTTTTATAGACTTTATATTTGTTTTCTTCACATTTTTTGCTGCCCCCCACTTTAAGAATTATTACTAGGTATCCTACATTTTATCTTTCTAGAAACAAATTGATGCTTTTCTATGCCATTTCCTAAAAGACAAGAGGCTGGGTGTTTTGTGGGGGTTTTTTCCCTGTTGGCTCATTATCTGTTGCATTCTTATTTTTTTTTTTTAATCTGGAGAAAATTTCTTTTCAACAGTTTTTCCTTTGTGAAAATGCTGTTCAGCCTTCTCTGAACCTGTCGTGTTGTCCTGTTTTACATATAAAATTACACATAATTATTATAAACGCATTTGCAAACGAGTAAATGACACAGACTTGCAGGTGCATACTTGCAGACATGTATATATTCAATATTTACCTTATGCATAAATTTTGTCAGACTCCGCGTTAAGTAGGTGGTTATTAACAAGTCAAAATATGGCTCTCAGACCATGGTTTACAACTGCAGCAGAGTCGTTATGTACTGACAAGCACTGATGTCTAGAAATGTTAAGTGAAAAAAATAAGCCACAGATTATTATACGTGCTATGATCCTGTTGCATTTTTAAAAAAACACATAGCTATAGATGTATGTATCGGGTTATAATTGGTTTTGCTGTGGTAACTAATCCTGAAATCTTAGTAATTAAACACGATGAAGATAGATACGTTTTGCAAACGATGCATATATAACACAGATATGCAGGGTGAGAAAGGAACTCTAATCCACACAGTCACTCGGGGAACCAGGCTTCCATCGTTTTGTTTCTGCACCACTGAAAACAGAGAGCCTCCTCGGTCTGTGCAACAAATCAAGAAAGTTCACGGAGAGCTCGTTCTTGCTATTATATGTGTCAGCCCAGCAATGACACATGTCATTTCTGTTTACAGCATACGGGCCTAAGCTGGTCTCATGGTCCACCTGAGCTGCAAGGAAGCAGGCATTCAGAAGAGCACATGGGTATACAGAGAGTGGTAATTGTTTCTGATACAACATGGATAGATGCAAAATGCAAATGAAAAGCTCAAGAAGGAAAAAAAAAGATTTCATAGGTACATTTCAGAAGGGAAGGGAGTTGAAAAGAACAAAGAAAAATTCCACTTTTTTATATCATATGCTCCCCAATCTTTTACATTTTAAAAATAAAATTCAGGTCCCACATTTGCTAATAAATAAAAATGTTTTAAAAACTCCTTATGAGCCATTCTGAGATAATCCAGTTAAAATAAAACCGGAAAGTAAGTGGTTAAAAGGCAACACAAAATAGTTTCCATCAATGGCTCAGCGTCAAGCCAGGGCATAGCTCTCAGGGATCAGCCCGGGCTCTCTGTGATTTAGTGGCTGTTGTTTGATCAATGGCCGGAATGATAGATTGGAGAGCCTGCTGATTAAGTTCACGGATAAAGCTATGTTAACTAAAACTTTGGGGGCCGTGATTAAGATCCAGCCCGGCCTGTCAGACGTGAGCTATGGCCGAGCGTGGGGTGTGAGTGTGCTTGGGAGGGAAGCATGAATCTCGGAAGACTGCAAGGGTCAGGCAAAAGTACTTTGGTGCCCCTGGATCCTGTGTAAATCACACGCCAGATGGAAGTCTGGAATAAATGGGGTTGCTTCAAGAAATGGAGCCCTCACTCCTCAGGCATCTCAAGTGTTAAGAGAAGACAGGAATGGGAGGAAAGGAAGATATATTCAGAGTTCAAGATTGTCAAAGCAAAAAAAAAAAAAAATTCACTGAACGGGATGGACTGTGCATCCGGTTGAGTGCTAAGGAGCAAATAAAGGAGACATTGGTGCTCTCTTTGTATCTGGGACTTATCTTCCCTGGTCCCTGGCTTGACCTTTCTTCTAAGTGCTTGCTCATCGAAGTGTGGTTCAAGCACCGGCAGCAACTGACCCTCCTGGGAGCTTATGGGAAATGCAGACTCACCGGATCGGAATCTGCCTTTTAACCAGGTCCCCCCCACCCCCCACCCCCGCAGTTCATGTTCAAATAGGGAAAGCACAGGTCTGGGTTATATCTGCCCCCCTCAGCCCCACCCACCCACTCTCTCCTCCTTACTTTGCAATCTCCTCGCCTTTGATTTGGTCTAACTTCGCAGAGGCAAGAAAGTTGAAAGAGATACGAGAGCCTAAAGCAGACACCCACAATGGAGAGGTGAATAGAGAGGGGAAATGCAAAGGCAAAAATCCAGGCAGGGGGAGTTGGTGGGTGAAGTTCAGGGAAAAGGAGAGACAGGAAGGAAAGAGAGATGAAGCACATTTGCAAATAAATGTAGAGAGAGATGGGAGATGCTTTGAAGAAGTATTGCTATACAATGTCTCCATCAGCCATTCTTTGAGAGCCTTCATAAAAGATTTAAATTGCTTTTTAACTATCTTTGGGTATCACAACTGATTTTTTCTTTATATGAAACTAGATGAGCTGAGGCTACTATGAACTCTGGCTTTATATTAGTTACATAGTTGCAGGCTTTCCTAATCCTTTTTTAGGTAGGAGGGTGGGGAAGGCAATAAAAAATTTAAGATAAGTCCTTCTATAATCTTAGAATATGCAGTTCCTATTCTATACGATTCCAAAAAAGAAAGACTTTTGTTCATGATTTCACAATGTTTCTGTTGACTCTCACAGATCTCTGCACTGAATTATTTAATAATGTGAAATTACAGCTAGATCCCCAAGTAGCTGTCATTTAGCAGTTACGCTAAAGAGGGATGGATCAGATAGAATGGCGTCCTCAAACTACAGCCCGCGGGCCACATGCCACCCGCCCAGGACATTTATCCGGCCCGCCAGGTGTTTTTGCAGCCGCTGCCTGTCCTGCTTAGCAGCCGACTCGTCCCGGGCCCACAGTGCACTCTCTCCAATGGTCTGGGGGACAGTGGACTGGCCCCCTGTTTACAAAGTTTGAGGACCCCTGAATAGATCTTGAAGCTCATTTTATTAATACTTCTGATTCTCTATGACTAGTGTGAATGAAAAGAAAATGAAAATAATCTCCAATTTGTGGAACAACAGTAGAAGTAAGAATATTCCGCCCTTGGTTTTTAGCTACATGAATTGTTTCAGCATCAACAGCTGTTGTTCTTTCTATGTACGTAACAAAGAGTATTGATATTGTTTGGCTCTCATCTTTAATCCTAGCACTCCAGGAGGCTGAGGCAGGAGGATCACTCAAGGTCAGGAGTTCAAAACCAGCCTGAGCAAGAGTGAGACCCTGTCTCTACTATAAATAGAAAGAAATGAATTGGCCAACTAATAATATATAGAGAAAAACTTAGCTGGGCATGGTGGTGCATGCCTGTAGTCCCAGCTACTCAGGAGGCTGAGGCAGGAGGATCGCTAAAGCCCAGGAGTTGGAGGTTGCTGTGAGCGAGGATGACACCATGGCACTCTAGCCCAGGCAACAGAGTGAGACTCTGTCTCCAAAGAAAAAAAAAAGTATTGATTTTGGAGCCTAAACGAGTTAAGGTGATAGTAAAAAAGGGAATTCATAAACTAGTTGGTAGAATATAATAACCCCAGCACTTGTGATTGCTCGGTATAAACTGTGCATATAAAAAAATAATTACAAAACAACAAAAAAAATGCATCTTGAAAAATCTTGCGTGCTTACAGGAAATGAAGTGATGGTTCTCCTTAACTCTCCTAACATTTATTTTAAAAATAGTTTTCAGGTAAGGGGAGAAAAATCAGAAAGAAACTCTTCCTGGCTCTTTGTGGTGTTTGATTTGAGGATTCTTTTGACAACAAAAATAATTTTGCTTTAACTTAAGCGTAGCCTTTGATGCTACATTGCCTAGATGTACTTGACTTAGATACATTACCATGCATTCAACTTCAGAACAATTTCAAAGACTTCCAAGGAACCAGGTGCCCTTTCTCTCCAAGGTGGTATCTGATTAGCTCACATGCACACACAGAAGATGGTAGGGGGAAAAAAGTGTAAATTTCATCAAAATATGGTGCATGTACTCAATTTTTATAGGATTTGTCTCTAATTGAGGGTGTGGATATCACATCTGAATGCACTTTCTAGAGCATTTGTCAAGGCTGCAAGATTTCAAGTGTGTTGCAGACTGTCACACAAACATGGTGAAGGCAAGGAACTGTGTTGGGTTGATTACTTCCCTCAAAGGTCCCTATGTCACCTTCCAAAACCGGGGCGCCACACCTTTCAGTGGACTTGTAAGTCCTCGGGCCATTCTCCAGTCTCAGGGTGTTTTTCTGGCCTGGGGTGTCAGTATATGAGCTCTAATTACAGCTAAGACACTAATCCTAGGTCCTGATCTCCAATCTCTCAGCTGCCAAATCCACTGCAGAAATTGGCTGGAACTCAAGGACAGGGAGTTTTAAGGGAAAGTAAAGTGCTGAGAAGTGCAAGATGCTGTCTATCTCCTGCTTAAATGGTTTCTCACGGCTCTTGGGATTAAGGTCAAGATCGGTGGCGTGAATTACACAGGCCTGCACAGCCTGGCAGCTGCCTCGCTCCCTACAAGACATTTCCCCACTAGCTCGCCATACTCAGCCACACTGGCTCTCTGCCTCACCACGGCGCCTTTGCCCAGACCCCTGCCCCTCACCCCTGCCTTGCTAACTCTCTCCTCCCTCCATCCATCAACTCACAGTGTAAATGTCAAGGCCCCAAGAGAAGCCCACCTTCAACATTCAGACTCGATGTTGTGTTCCCTCTGCTGTGTGATCTCATGGGAACCTCAGCTCTTCCACGAGAACATATACCACAATTGCAATTTTATTGTTACATATGCAATTTTTTTTTGTCCTTGCCTCTTACCCTAGGTTTTAAGCCCCATATTTCTAATACCCTGTTTATCCAAAAATAAGACAGGGTCTTATATTTATTTTCCCTCAAGAAGACACCCTAGGGCTTATTTTCAGGGTTTGTGTTATTTTTTTTTTTTAAGTACGGTACAACCATCTACATTGATTCAAATAGAGTTAAGTCATCTTCTGGAACATCATCCTCACTCTCCAAATCCTGAATTCCATCCTGAATTTCTTGCGACTCTATTTCTTTTAGAACCATTGGCCCCAATCTCTCACGTCGAGCACTAGAGCTGCATGGGGCAGCATGAGAACGGGCTGCTCGGTGGTTCTTCCGGGCTCTGCGCGGATGACGGTGCATGGGTTGGCAGATGCGCCGCGTAGCCACGCCCATCGACTAGGGCTGAATTTTCAGTAACCCACGCCCATCACGTTAGGGCTGATTTTCCATAGCCAGCGCCACATCACTAGGGCTTATTGTTCACTAGCGCACATGCATCACTCAGGGCTTATTTCATAGCCACGCCCATTCGACATAGGCTTATTTTTCATAGCCACGCCAGCCATCACTCTAGGGGCTTTTTTCCATAGCCACGCCACTCGACTAGGACTTAGTTTCGCATAGCCACGCCATCACTAGGGCTTATTTTGGGGTGGTAGGGCTTCTAGTTGCGCAAATGCTTAGGAATCCCTGCTAGGCTAATTTTTCAGGGTCTAGCGCTCCTTTATTTTTGGGGAAACATGGTAGTATCTGCTGGGCACATAGAGACTCCATAAATATTTGTTAGCTGAATCAATGAAGAAAATGGAGAAGAGATAGAGGTCAGATAGTCTCATTAGCCACCTTCATACTTCATCTGTGTATCTGTGAGAGTCCCCTTTCACTCAAAGTAGTGAAATTTCTCTTTTCAGAATCGGTCTCCCCCATTTAATTATATGACCTTCAGGTAGAAGAGGGTCTCTCACCAGGGGCTGGAACATATAAAGTGGCTCAAAGATAAAGTGCTTGGAAAAGAACAAGAGGAAGACATGGAAAGAGAAGATGAAGGGAGAAAGGAAGGAAGGAGGGAGGGAGGGAAGGTAGTAATGTGGTGGAGCGAGAGAAAGAAAGCAATCAGGGTAGAGTTAGTAAGTCTCTTAAACAAGTCAGATGGTATACAAGAGAAAATTCCTAATTAAAACCTTCCGCCTTTGTAAAAAGAAAGGCCTTCTGCAAACCTTTTTGGAGTGGATGCCAAACAAATGGGGTATGCTTACAGCATAGTATAAATAATACTGATTAAAAATTATTTTTATGAAGACAAACAGAACATTAAAATTCCTGCTGGTAAGACTCAAACTATTAATAATTTTGATTTCAGGTTAATACTTTTGTGGAGGGAAGATGAGAGGACTTCAGAGGGCATTTAAAATCATAAGAAGCTCATGTATTACCACTGGTATTAACAATCGTTGGGAAAATTCATGATGTCACTTGCTTTGAACAATATGAGGACCAGCTGTAAGTGGTACAGAATGAAGACTAATGACTGTTCACATGCAAAACTCAGTCTTGTTGAAGAGGACTTCTTAGGCAGCAACAGATTGTTAGGCTAAATTATTAGCTCATTTTAATTGAAAGTGTGAAAAGACAGTGCATTTTGCAAGATGGCACTCAGACAGCCATCTGATTCTTAGCTGAAAGAGCTTCACCCAAAGCAGCATCATAGATATGTTACTGTCCATAGTCTGTATTTTTATAATATGTGGTCAGATTGCATTTGGCTATACAGTATTCAATAAATGCTCCATACCAGAAAGTCTTTAATCATCTTATACTTTTCACACTTTGTACTTATATTTCAGTTATTCCATACAATGCATTTGTTCACCTAGCCTTCTAAAAGGAGTATTACTCATGTGTCTTAACTCCTTGGGCTTTTTGTGTGTTGTTTTTTGTTTTTTTTTTTTTCCAATTATTCCCAAGCCATATGTTTTGGTTGACAGTCTCATGCTCTGGAGAGCAAAAATGGAAACGATGAAATTTTTTCTTAGGAAGTGCTTTATTCACTTTCAAATTGAAACAGTGCTCATTCACTATGGTGATTTGAAAGAGTCTCTTAAGTCAAGCCTGATACCTTTCCGACAGGTAGATTTTTTTTTTTTTTTTTGCCAAAAACAGGAAAAAGCTAAGCTCTGCATGTAGAATCGGATGAGGACAATGAGCTGGACTTGGAACTGGCCACATTCACATCCTGCGTCGTAAGAAACGACACCTTGCACAGAAGCTGATAATTAGGAATCAACCGAGAGTCCTCTCTTCCCCTCACCTTTCCCAGGTCCGGGCCGACACCTGTTAATTTTGCTCCCAAAATACATTTTGGATCTGCCCACTCCCTACCACGTGAGCTACTATGGTGGTCTCCCCCGTGGGCTGCGTTTTCCCAGCCTTGGTTTCTCCAGTGAGTTGTCCGCATGGCAACCCACGTGATCTTGTGAAAACACAAATGTGATGAGTTCAGAACATTGATCATGCAGGGTGGTGACTGTAGTTGATAATAATGTTTTGCATACTTGAAAACCATGAAGAATAGATCTTAACTGTTCTGACAACAAAAAATAAGTATGTGAGATGACGGATATGTTAATTGGCTTGATTTAACCATTCTTACAATGTATACATGTATCAAAACATCACCTTATAATGTGATTGCATTAATATATGCAATTTTTTTTTTTTTTTTTGAGACAGAGTCTCGCTTTGTTTGCCGCAGGCTAAGAGTGAGTGCCGTGGCGTCAGGCCTCGCTCACAGCAGCCTCAAACTCCTGGCTCGGAGTGATCCTTGCTGGCCTCAGCCTCCCGGGTAGGAGGACATACAGGCATCGGCACGCATGCCCTCTAATCTTTTTATACTAATATATCCAGTTGGCAATTACATTTCTTTCTATTTATCAGTAGAGACGGGGTCTCCGCTCCTTTGCTCAGGCTGGTTTGAAACTCTGACCTCGAGCAGCTCAACCCGCCTCGGCTCCCCGAAGAGCTAGGATGGTAGCAGGCTGAGCCACAGCGGGCCGGTAAATTTTTTTTTTTTTGCAGACTAGAAGTCTGCTTTGTTGCCCAGGCTAGAGTGCCATGGCGTCAGCTAACTTCACAGCAACCTCAACCTCCTGGGCTGCAAGCATCCTCAGTCTCAGCTACGAGTAGCTGGACTCAACAGGACAACGCCACATGCCCGGCTTCATTTTTTCTTATATATATTAGTTGCCAATTAATTTTCTTGTCTATTTATGTAGACAAGCGAAGCTCACCTCTTGGCTCAGGCTGGGTTTTTGAACTCCAAACCTCAAGCAATCCGCCCTCAGGCCTCCAGAGTGCTAGGATTTCAGGCATAAGAGCCCACCACAGCGCCCTGCAAGATAATATGCAAGTTGTTTATTATAGTCAACAGTCAAGCCTTAGCTTTCTTTTTTTTTTTTTTTTTAAACATAAAAGAGAGGAAGCAGCTCCAAAAAAAACCACACCAAACCATACCAAAAATCCACAGATGTGATCCTAATGCCCTTCTGCATAAACTATTCAGTGATTTCTCTTGCACTCAGGATAAAGCAAAACTCTTTGTCTTTATCTAAAATGCCTCGCCATTCTACCTGAACCCATCTTGTATTAATCTCCATCAGTCGGCTTCATATGTATTTTTACCTTAAAAGTTAAGGTTCTGTAGCACCAGTGCACACTCTCACGTGGGTGCCCCAGTCTTCCTGGGTCATTTGACGTGTAAGCTTGGCACCATTAGGGAATCCTACATCCTACATCCTCCCGTGTCCATCTGTGACCCTTGCAGTCGGAAGTGAGGACCACCGGCCACCTCCATGCTGGGTGCCAGCCAGGCCTACGCTCCTATTTCAGACAGAGTGCGTTTTATGATTAATCGTAATCCTCCTGCCTTCCGTGGGCGTGAATCACCTGAATGTTCTCCTCGGGGGAGGAGGGAAGAGATGGTAAATGATGTCTCCAAACATACCCTGTAAGCTTCTTTGGATGAAAGCAAACGTTGAAACCCACACATTCAAGCAGGAAGGAAAGGGTGGTAAACAGAGACCCAACTTCCACCCACGAGCTCTTGGAGGTGACCCTGTGTCTGTCATCACAGAATGAAGGTCACAAAGGTTATAACCACAGGCAAGGTCTCTGCCCTCGTCCCTCATAGCCTCGTCCTTGCCTCCACTTATAGCCAGCAGGAGCGAGAAGCTGCCCAAGTCAAGCTGTGAGATTGCTGGGGTCTCTTCCACCTGAGTTCGTTCGTAAGCACCTTCTATTCCTTCTGCGAGCCTTGCTTTTTCACTCTCAACGCGATGCCTCTCTCTGATTTGCAAATCTCCTTCCAGAGTCTGACGACAGGGAAAGTTTTTTTTTTTTGATCGATAGCCTAGTCAAAGGTAGGCTCTGTATTCCCAACACCCGGTGCAGGCTGCCTCCCTGTTGACATTAATCTTCTGACTTTGCCGGGTCTAGACAATGCAGGTTGGAGAGTGTTAATCTAAAGATGCACGAGACACCGAGCCATAAATCTGCCCAGGGGTAGATAGACTTGTGGCATTTTCTATTTGCTCCTAAGACAACTCTGGGCTTGTGTGATCCTCCATCGCCTTTGCCATGAAAGATTGAATTACCCACAGCATCGAAATTTACTTCCTTCAAAGCATCTCACACCCAGAAAAGCACCATCCATTTGCTTCGGGAATTGAGTCAGAAAATCCAAGGGAAGACATTGTAGAGATATGATACTTAACTTTTATTTTTTGAGATGTTATTTCCCAATCGAGAAAAACAAGATGTGTCTCATTTTATTATATAATCATGTTTCCTCATGAGCATAACTGAGATTCTTCTAATTGCAGTAACCATGGGTGGTTGCTTTTTTTATTCATAATCTAGTCAGGCTGTGAAGTTCTAATAAACTCAGACTATAAAGGTGTTGTAAGGAATAACCACCGTAAGCAGGGATATTTGCGAGCATTTTTCAAAATCCAAATTTTAAGCAACCTGAAAAGTTCCGTATACAAGAAAGATTAGGCAAGTGACCTGCAAAACCAAGGCATCATTATATCTTGTTCATACAGAACTGCTAAAATGGCAAATTTTCCAAGAGTAATTTAGAATTTGATTTGACTTTTGTTCCCTGAGATCTAACTGGACTTCACATATGTGGCTATAGACTCTAAGTCATCCTCTCTCTCTCTCTCTCTTTCTCCCAAGTCTCTTCTTTCCTCTCTCTCACCACACACACACACAGAAACCTTAGTCATAATAAATACGTTACATCTCTTAACCTTTTACTTGTTCTGGCTTAAGGGAACACATCTTTCTAGATGCTCGTGCTATGGATAAACTGACTAGTTGAGATACCTTCCAGTTAGAGAGCTTCGTAGTCAGTAGATAATTCCTCGATTTAATTGAAAGTATTCTTTCTTGCATGTCTCCAGATTGAGTTGGGGCCCCTTTATACTCCTGCGATCAATCATATTCTGGCATCACTTTAAATGAACGTGCCAATGTGTGCAGAAAAATAAGCTTCGTTTCATGTGTCAAGATGGAATTGGTAGTGGCTTCTTGGAGCTCTGTGTTTAGAAGGATTCTGAGGCTCCTTCCTTCATTAGCAGGAAAGAGTGCCAACAGCATCCGCTCTGACTGCTACGGAAATGGGAAGTTGAACAGTGGCACACGTTACCATGTTTCCTCGAAAATAAGACAGGGTCTTATACTTATTTTTCCTCAAGAAGACACCCCAGGGCTTATTTTCAGGGGATGTGTTATTTTCTTTAAGTACGGTACAACCATCTACATTGATTCAAATAGAGTTAAGTCGTCTTCTTCTGGAACATCATCATCACTCTCCAAACCCTGAATTCCATCCTTAATGTCTTGTGACTCTATTTCCTTTAGAACCACTGGCCCCAATCTCTCATGTGGAGCCATAGAGCTCTCACGGGGCAGATGAGAAGGGCTGCTCGTGTTCTTTCCCTCTCCGCGACGACATGCATGGGTTGTGCAGATGCGCTGCGTAGCCACGTCCATCACTAGGGCTTATTTTCATAGCCACGCCCATCACTAGGACTTATTTTCATAGCCACACCCACCACTAGGGCTTATTTTCATAGCCACGCCCACCACTAGGGCTTATTTTCATAGCCACGCCCAGCACTAGGGCTTATTTTCGGGGTAGGGCTTCTATTGCCCACATGCTTAGAAATCCTGCTAGGGCTTACTGTATGAGTAGGTCTTATTTTCAGGGAAACACGGTACCTTTTTACAATCTGTCCCGTCGTGTGTTTTCTATTGACAGACTTTATCTGGAGCTCTTACTTCGCCCCATCACCTGCTAGACTCTCTTAGCCAAATGTTTGGCTCCCACTGTGTCACCTTCCCTCTGCACGAGGGCATAAACCCTGGAGTGCCTCTTCAGTCTCCACTGACCTGTTTTAGACTAAGTGAGAAGGTCATAATGCATTATGCTTTCGAGATGATATATTTGCCTTTTAACTCCTGTTTCAGATTCTAAAAGGCATTAGGAATACACTTTTGCACACACAGACTTTGGGTGCTTTGCTGCAGCATTTCAGAATGGCCAGTCCCACCTTATTATGGCAGCTCAGGAATTGTATTCTAACTTTCTCTGCTCATGAAAGCAATGCTCAAAGAAGTCCGGTTGGCAAAGGACATGAACAGAAACTTTTCAAAAGAAGACAGAATAATGGCCAACAAACATATGGAAAAATGCTCAACATCTCTCGTCATCAGGGAAA